CAGGGGAAAGGAAAGAAGGGAAAGGAAAAAATGCTGAGAAATGGAAAAAATGGAAATAAAGTCTTTGTAAATAGGGAAGGGTGGAGGGTGTGAAGGGAGGGTTAGGAATGGAGAAAAATTAAGAACCAAGATGCATTACATAAAGGTACAATTCCCAGTGAGAAATGTAATTGTGTTGTATACCTACAATGTACCAATAAAAGAATTTAATACAAAAAAAAAAGTCATCCCATCTTCTTAAATGCAAACCCACTACTCGCTGGGAAGTATATGATAGGCTATGCCAGAGTGCCAGCCAGCCTTACCATATTAGCAGAGTCTAACTTTGGGCATGTGTGTCTCCTTACATTCATGGATACATATATGAATGCTCTTCTCGTTCCAGATAAATACAAGAGTGTAGGTTGCATGGGAACAGCACAGAGACTGTGTGAATACATTACTCCCCTCTTTTCTTTGCCCTTTCTTCTCAGAGCTCACTGAGTTGTTCGGCAGGTGAGTCCCTACAGGGAATTTCTTTGACCCTACCCTTGTCTTATTTAAGGAGCAGTGCTTAATTTCTCCCTGTTACCTTCAATTCTGAAAACCTGATGTCTTCTCATCAGAGAATCAGGGAAGTCAAAAGCAATCATCTCATACCAGCTCAGTACTGGAGCAAAGGTTGTATAGTATATCAATGATGAGTAATTTATTATCTCAGAGAAAAATGCTAAAATTATGCCTTCTCTAATGGAATAAATACACTATAGCAAAATTGCTGTAAAGTGAATTTCTGGCAAGTCTTGTTTTACTGTGATTTTCATTCTAAACCATGGCTATGTTTTGCTAGAAAAATGAAAAGCAAAAGATTCTCTCTGCGTTGTAATTAAACCATGCATTTAAAAATAAACCACAATCGCTTCTCGGCCTTTTGGCTAAGATCAAGTGTAAAAATAAACCACATATTTTAATAGTGCAGGTTTAATCATTTAAAACTATAATGAGAATCTTGTGCTAGACAGTCAATTTTTCCCCACCTTTCACTACTTAAATTCTGCTCTTTGTTTTATTCAGTCTTTTTCTACTGAAACCTCCTCCATGTGAGCCCTTATTTAAGGGCTTATTGACTTATAAGCTCAGCAAATGGGAGGGTTTTTTATTGGAGTGTAATTATTCATGTTTTGCCTCCAAAGCAAAACTTTCTTGATAGAATGAATGTGCAGCTCCTTTTTGCATACATGCCTAAACTGATGCTCAGAGCAACCCAGGAAATAGAGCAAGTTGTATCCCCATTTTGCTGATGAGAAGACAAAGCCATTTTGCTGATGAGAAGACAAAGCCTAGCTGTCTCAAGATCCTATAGCTAGAAAATGGGAGCAGGGAATTTAACCTAAATTTTATGATTCTTCTTCAGACAGGAGAATGTTCTGAGCAGCAAAGGCAGCATCAATCCCAGTTTTCTAGAAAGCTTTTTTAAGGGGCTGATGCCACAAATCATTTTCAAGTTGTCCTTCTAAATTTTAAGAAGGAAAACAAAATTGTAGCAAATTAAGTACTCTATGCTTTCCCAACAAGTCTTTTAGTTTTAGGTTAAATTCATCCCAAATAGAGCTATGTTTACTTTTTCCTGCAGTCTGGAAACTCAAACACTAGGTAAGCATCTTTGCATAGATTGCGTATCCATTCCAAGGATTGTATGGACTCATTCAACCATTTGTAATACTTACATAGATGTTTATTCTGTTCTTATTTTTATTGCCAAATATGGATCATAGTTACAGTTTCATTTGATTTTTGATTCTGTGACTCCCAATTACAATCAACAAAAAGAAAGCTTCATCTGGTTTCTGATACAGTTTTATGCATATATTATGGAGAAAAGAGAGATATGAAAATTCTTCCTCAACTTATTTGACTCTCTATAGACATTCTTCAGGGGGAAGGAAAAATATGACTTTAAAGACTAAATCCTTCAATATCAGCTCAGCACAATGATAATCAAATTAGTATGTTGCGCCTATATTCACTCTTCTAACTTAATATGTTAGCACTGGGGACTCATAGAACATGAGAATTTGTCTACTAGAGCCTAGTAAACTGTCCATTGCCCACTGACCAAATTAAAGAGACCATTTTAATTGCAGAACAAGAAAAAATCATTCTTTTTGAATTTTGGATAGTACCATTCCTTGAAGTTCATTTTATGACTGTATTAATTTCACTAGTAAATTTCTATGAAATAGTACCTGTTCATTGAAAAATTTGGGCAAAGTTTGAGTTAAATTTGTCTGTTATAAAAAAAATAACAATGTTTTCTGTCTGGTGTAGCTCTTACTAAGGATTTGGTTTTTACATTCAGAGAATTGTTCAATGCAGAGAAACAGTGTAGCTGACAACAGCCAGTGGAATGGGTGTGTGTGTCTTTGCAAACAGAGCATGTGGATGCATGTCTCCATGCCTGAGCTGGCTGCTTCAAACACTAATTATAGCTGAAGAACTAGAAAAGAAATGTGTTTTCATTTATGTATTGAGAGGAAACCTCTAAAAGTGCTTCTTAACTGTTTCAGACACAGAATTTGGAAGGTTCATTCTTTGCTAGACACCACCACTAATCTATTTCACTATCATTTATGTATTCATTTGACAA